CCTGTAACTTATAGCGATGTCAACAGAAATAATTACGAAGTCAGAGTCCAATCTAACTATGGACAGATTAACCAAAGTCCTTTATACGTAAAAAAAAGACTCCCAGTTCCTACACAAACTCAAGAATGTTTTAAGACTCCGTTGCCGGTTAAAGGTCAAGACACGTCGGTGCCTTTTTCGAGATCAAAGTCAAACGATAATCTTGTTGAACCGAACGGCCAAACCAATGTGCAATATTCGAGTGACAGGTACCTTGCCCGAAAAATTTCTAAACGTGACGATTTCAAGTCCCAACCAAGTTCATTGGATGACGTCGATAAACTGGAAGAACAAAGGGCTGCCAGTGGCCCAATTAGCGGGGCTAGCTCAGATGGGAGATTGGGTGGCGGAGGACAATCTGATTCTGGACGCGGTAGTACGGTGTATAGTAGTGGCAAAGCCCAAAATTCTGCAACTAGTCCTGAATCATCATCCGAATTACCGACAAACCAAGGTACGCAAGTGAATATATTTTTATTTATTCTGCATAATTATATATGAGGCATCATAATATTATGATTTAATTAAATTTTTTTTTTTAATTTCGAATTTGTCAATTTTTATACTCAGTTGTTTTTGCAATAATATAAATAATAAGTATATATATATTTTAAATATTTATCTAGGTAAAAAAAGTAATACTACAAGTAATAGGTAGTTATATTTTTAAGCTTTAGGATAAAAAAGATTTTTGTTTTGTTAAATGTTAGGTTTTATACATATGTAATCCACTTCTAAATAAATTAATATAACTTTAAAACTTATCAAAAAAGTTAATGTTTTATAGGAAAAAAAGGTCAAAGTGAATGGATGGATTACGTAGATACCGAATTACGTCAGATTCTCGATCCGTCTAAAGTTAGTGTACAATCAACATTAAGCGATAGTGTATCTTCTGTAACTCCACCATTACCACCACTATCTCCTGATGGGTCATCTGATGATATGCAAACACCCATACACAAACAGTAAGATTTATTATTAATTTATTTTCAAATTTCATTCGCAATTAATATATGAAATTTTATCATTTATAGCCGAACCGAGTATTCAGTGAAATCTCGAGGCCAAGCTTCAAACCAAAGAACGCCCTGGTCAAACAGGGTACCAAAAGAAAAATCCCATAGACAAACAAGTACTATTAAGAGACCAGATTTAAAAAGAATACTTCAATGTAAGAATTTGATAATCAAAGTATAAAAATAGTTTAATTAATAAAATAAAATATAATTATCATAGCAAGCAGTGTTGGTGATATGGACTCAATGTTTGACGAAGAAGCAAGCAGTGACGACGAAACTGTCAACAGTGATGTACGCACAATACGGAAACAGTTAGAAGGACTAGAAACTATGTATTCAGAGGTTAGTAATTTAATATTCATTTTCACCCTATTTGATATTAAAACCACAAACCACGTGTACAGGTACTCAAATTACTTGGGGTTCGTAAATCTGGCGGTGGTCCTAGATATCAGCCGTCGGACCCTAGAGTTAACCGACGACGAATGTATGGTAGTATGTCTTCAATTCCATCATCGGTAAGCAGTAGGCCTTACCGCGAGAGACACCGCAGGTCAACAGACGATCGGAAGAAATCTGTCAAGGACATTAAAGTAAGTTTTTGACATCAAACTTCAAAAATATAATAATGTGAATTGTATTATATTATGTCAATGATGTACATAATGTGAATAGAATAATATAATATAGTAATCATTTTTTTTTCTTAAAAGTAAATATCAATCAATTAAAATAAAAAGTGTATTGTACCAATAACCTTATACAAATAAATAACAATAAAAAATCATTTTCAGGGCATTAATAAACGTTTTCAACGTTTGGAATCGCATGTAGTCACCCTGGCGAGAAGTGTCGCACACCTTTCATCTGAAATGAGAACTCAACATCTTATGATTCAAGAAATGGAAGTAATTCGAAATGAACTTTCCGCCTTAAGGACACAGACGAACATGTTATCTATACGTTCACATTCTGTTCCTCGAGTTCTTCAATCTCTCTGTCCGGAACAGACCAACTCGAGTCCGAATAAAGTGAAGAAGCTAACTAAATTTTTCGGCGACGAGCCTCCACTTTTAAGACTGTTTCTCAAAAAATTAGGATATGAGGTAACATAACATGATCTTGATTATGAAATTAAACACATTAATACACTTTTATTGAAACACAATAATTTAACATTATAATTAATCATTTGTTACCGTTCAAATTAAGAGTTATGAATATTTTTTTGATTCTAATTTATTTTTGTTATAATGCGTTTATATAAATCGTTGATCTGCAAATATATCCAGCTAACTATTGGTTTTTTCGATTCTTTCAGAAATACGCATCGGCATTCGAGAAAGAGAAAATCGGCTTGGTGGAATTGCCATACATGAGTGAGGAAAGGATGCATAAGCTTGGTGTGCCCATGGGACCGAGGTTAAGAATAATGCAAGAAGCTCAATTAGGTTTTCCTGGGATGCACGAGAACACATTAGCCATCGTGTGAACATTGTTTGCGGCACAACTGAACGTTGGCCGATTAAAAGTATAATAAATAATAATATTATGTTATGCCATTAAGTGTTACGTGTAAATATAATCATATGGACAAATGTTTAAAAAAATATATTCGTATAAAATATTGTTGGATTATTATTAAATTACTTTTTTTATGACATAATCTATAGTAACGTATAACTTTACTATTATACTATATCGGTCGTCTGATGTGTTTTTCTACTCATAGCATGGGTAGTAATATTAGTTCAAATACACATAATATACATACAAGACTTCAAACAACCAAATTAGATATAACGCACAGACAATATTAATTTTAAACATTAAAGCTAACATTTTTAATTTTTAAGCGACTCGGTCAAAAATTCGGCTGTCCCATTATTTATAAGATCATATTGCATACATTTTAAAAACTGATAGATAATTCGTATTACATCATCACTAGAATTTGATTTGTATAAATAATTACGAAATTGTTTGCTATAACACGAAGACAATATAATCTATACCTACCTATTAATTCGTATATACATCAAAATATTCCCAGCATTGTTCTGCAGATCATAACCAATTAATGGCTGTTGCTCAAGAACCGACAGTAGTTAGGGCAATAACCTTTATTGGAGCGTTGTTTATTTAATACACTATATGTGTAAATGTTTGAATACATATATAATATCCGGTCCGTAAAAACATATTATATCGCTGTCGTGTTATATTCGAATGGAAAGTAAATATAAACAATATGTACGACTCAAATATTTCTCGAAATTTATATGAGGACGGTACTGAAAAACATGTGTGTAAACAAGTCGCGGGTTTTTATCTTAAACGAACCAGGTCATTTGTGGTAACTGAAAGATGAGGTCGTGAGGGAAGTATGCCTACGTTTGGTCTGAAATGTGTGGGCCGAAAATAAAGTTATTTCTCCGTCATCTGCATGCAGTGTGTTTATTATTAATACGTATAAATTATTGGTTATATTACATTATGCTATTCAACACAAGTAGTGAACTTGTGATTTATGTAATATATTCATTGGTATAGTAATCTACCAAAACAACAAGAATATGTTACGCATAAGATATTTTGCTATTTTATTTCTAAAAATCTAAAAATGTAGTACTTATTGTGGGTAACTTAATATACAATTTATTTTCTAAAATGCATCATTTTAATTACTTTATAAATTTAATATAATACCTAGAAATAAGAAAAGTTGTTTTATGTATGACGGAGAAACAAACCATAAGATGTGAAATTTTGAAATAGTTCATGTATATAAGATGCTATCTCTGAGTTTTATATCATGTAAACAATTTTATACTTCACACACAAACTTTAGTTAATACCCTGATACTCGAAAGTTGTTAGTAGATTATGTTTATGCATTTTTTCATAATTTCTTCTGCATATTTTATGATGTTTATTATTTATCAAATTATACAATTTTATACCCACAAATGTAGGTATTCATGATGCATTACACAATATTTACAAATCCCACACACGCAATTTTAAATGGTAAATATTCAATTCACGTTTAATAAACATAAGTATAAATTATAATAGTACCAATTCGTTGCTTGTTAAGACGCGATCGTATGCTCAATCTGCGGAAACGCTCTGAGCACGTATGGTACGTCCGGTACGGTCGTCGTTTATAACTCCCGGATGTGTGACCACCTGGGATTTTTAGCGACAAATCCTCCCCAAAAATACACGAACACGTGTTCAAACTAACCGTCCCCTCCTGCAAACAGCTTATGGCCTAAGTTGCTGAGTTTAAGATTAATAAAAAAAAATTAAAAAATTAATACATTTGAAAATGTAGTGTACTTTCCAACACACGTTTTGAAGTATCAATATAAATTGTATGAATATTTAATAGGTATTACAGCTGTAGTTTGTAATATAGTTTACAACTATAATCTAGCAGTTACCTAATTATTTATTTTTTTAAATTAATTTCGAACACATAGTTAGTAATGTTCTATATATTTTATAACATAGAAGTATTATGATTAAAATGATTAACAATATTGTGCTAAAATGCCAAACATTTTAAAAGTACCTAATATTTTGATATAGTAAGTATAATATCTAGCTAAATGACTGAATTCATAATTTGTGAAAAATACAATATTATTTGTCTGAATAAATGTAGGAAGTTTATTAAAAAAAATTGATTCATTAATACTTAAGGAACATTAATACTTAATTGATTTGTTTTCTTAACTGCTATATACTATTAAGAAAATAATTTAACTTTATCACTTAGTTTAGATATCATACAAGATTTTGTGTAGAAAAAAAATGGCGCTTAGACGTAATATATATGCCTATAATTAACTATGGATTATGGATTTATCACATTTCTGAAAGTCACAAATTATTGAATTCATAAAATAAATTTATGAATCGTTATCGGTCTGAACAGCAACAGGAATGGTTGACATGGTTGATTAATAAACTCATGGGCTCTTGTCTACTGGTGTGACGAATTTAATTTCGCGTGTCACCTTTACAACCTGTGGAGTTAGAGGCTTGTGAACCGGCTGTGGAAATTCATCTCCCGCCGATGGCAGACTCGGACAACTCAATCTGTCGTGGGCAAAATAGAAAAAAACACAGTAATTAAAAATAATATATCATTCTGACGAAAAAAATTTCGAGATGGCGTTGCAGCGATCTTATGGATCAAACTGACTTTAATCTTCGGGGAACATGTAATTATTATTAGTATGTTATTAAGTTTTTCTAGAAATTTAATCATGCGATTCTACACAGATTTCGATACTAATAAACTTTTACGCTTCACTCGTAAATAGAATAAAACCAGTAATAACTGCAATATAATAATGTTTAAAATAATTAATAAATATGCGTAAAGTACAACGACACCGTTGTTTAAAAACGCATACCTACAGCTATGTTTAGTTAAAAGGTAAGTTAAAAGTGTAATCACTGTAATTAATACACTGGGGGCAATTAATCGGAACAGAGTGCCGATTAGAGACGAGCGAATTCTGGTCGAGTCGGAATCTTCATTCGTCGATCGGTCGGTGGTCGTGTTTCGCATATAATTAAAATCATGGTCTTCAGTCATGGTCGAGCTACGGTCGATCGATTTATCTATAATCTATTTATCTATCTCATATTTTATAATATGTATATATCGTTTTCATTCGTACGGTACATTGCGAGTACAGGAACGTCATCTACGATTTATGAGAAAAATTTTTCGTATATTGTAGTAATACATTTAACACATCCAAAAAATAATTATGAATCTTGAATGGATAAAAAAAACATAAAGAATAATAAAATAGAAAATAAAAAATATTATAATACGAAAATCAATTAATCGATGAAGTCATTTAATCCAAAATTCGAGGATTATCTATGCCTCTATTGTCTCTAGTACCTATTTCAATAGAACTACTCTTAAAATGAACAAAAAACAAACATATAGGTAAGTACTCTTTTAATGTTATATGTTTTATTTTATTAAAAACATATTTTAAGTTTTTTAAATATATTTTGATATTGGCATATTACATATTTTTACAATTTATTAGATAGTATGACAAATTGACAAAATAAAAATTGATATGTTTAAAAACTTACAATATAATTTAATAAAACATATAAGATATAACAATAGAACTAGAAGTCTTGTGAAGACTAACGACAAAAAAGCTGATTTTTAAGTCACTTGAACGATAAGTTTACTTTCAATACTCCGTGACTTGTGAATAATGCTTTGGTATACATACCTATTAAACATTTAATTTTCGTTTAAACCGTATTATTCGCTTATAATACACTGTTAGTTATTAGTTACAATTTTATAACCTATATGGCTCTACTGTAAGTTAGTTATTCACTGATTTATTATTTTAAATATGTATGTATTATTAAATGGTGTGTAACTCTGTATCACCTGCAAGTACCAGCACAACCATTGTAAAGGTCTTCGATTAAATTTTATTTCATATTTTTGTGTTGTGTGATATTAATAATTAATATAATGTATTGAAATAATTTTTTTGAAAACATAATCCAGCAATCGCCATTAGAAAATTTGACACAGACAAGTAGACACCCGTCGGCAGACCAACGCATGACAATATAATATGCATAACGTACGAGATATGCAAAAAAATTGTCAGCAACAATATTAATATTTTCAGTTATGTATACGCCTTATCTTTGTTGAAGGCAAGTATACAAACAGTGTATTATAAATTCATATTATGGAAAAAACCGGTAATCGCATTTTGTGAAATGTGGATAAACCGTGGTGTTGAAACCTTATATTCATAACCAATTATAAAGATCATTCAGGAATAGTGAGTTAAACTACTATCTAGTGGCCTTTCTGTTTTTTCAGATGTTTGGATTATTATTGAAACCGGCATCAGTGATCATTCATAGCTAACTTCTAATCTATCGGTTATTCAACTGTTTAAACATTTTTAAATACGATTATTAAATACATTCTCTCGGTTTTTAAAGATTATGAATCTTCTGAGTGCATCACGATACGAAGAACCTACATTCACATTTCCTCAGTAATTTATTGGTCCTGTTTTTTAAGTTTATGTAAGTACACCTATAATTAGTCTTACATTTATAACTAAGATTTTATAATTATATAACATGTGATTGGCAGTGCTGATTTTTAAAATCTCACTTACACATTATAATATTTATAATGTTTGTGAATTTATATATTTTAAATCACTTGCCAATCACATCAAGATCATTTCATAAAAATTCAAATCAAAATATCATAAATATATATACAATGCCTATTGCCTACCTCTTGTGGGACCAAGCATCTTCAGGCACGTTCAAATACTGTTCATGTGAGCGTTCGACGGGAAAACACGCCACAGTCAGGTTGTCATTGGGAACCGACAGAGATCGAATAGACCCAAACGGTTCATCCGGGAATAAAGTGTTTCCGCTGTAAAGTTCCTTGCAAGCACTGAGAAAACGTCGTAGGTGAAAAAGTATTACAATATCACACGTTTGACGTGAAAAACAAAATTACAACTCAGCCAGATCAGATTGGTATTTTTCAAATTATTATCAAAAAAATCGTTGACATTAAGCGTCAGGGTTGAATAAATGAAGGGACGAAAGCTGTGGTTCAAAACTTTTAACAGAGTTTTTAAAATGTATCTCAACCACTACGAATAAAAATTGATTTCTGCGATCTATCAAAACTTTTAGCGTTTGATGCAAACTTAATTGGAAGATTTCAATATTTAAACATACCATCAACGCGTATGAGTTGACCTCATTCAATTCACTACGGAAGAAATATTTGAACCAGCTGAGACACCGTGTTGTAATACATAACGGATAAATATAATGAACATTATTGCAGTGTCTTTATTTTCGGCCGGATATAGTAGGTAGTAACTAGTATTATAGGTATATATATAGTATATAGTATATTTTAGTATTTTCCGTGTATAAAATAAGTAGCAGGCTATTTTATTTGTAGAGATTAACGTATAGCGTCGCTATAAAACATCCAAATTAGTAAAAGTACTTCAGCGCGCTAGATATGTTCGGTTAGTGTAGCGAAAATTATCATTATTTCACCGCTATCATCAACTTATTTGGTGATGGTTAAAATTGTATGATAACCAATGACAATAATGATGGGTGTATTAGTGAATTTTTCGGTTGAAGTCAAATCTCGTTCAGTGAACAAATATTAAAGCAGTACAAACTATAAACTACCAGTTTTCAATTAAAACATTAAAAAAAATGTAGCTTAAAATTAGCGCGCTACATTCGAACAATTGAGTTAGAAGCAGCGCACTACATTGAAAAAAAAGTCTTGGGGAAGTAGCTGTAGCATTAGAGCACTATAAAAAAACTAGTAGCGTCCCGACCACTGAATTTATTAATACCCACCCATGCGCGGAATCAGTGAATATCAAAAATGGTTTTGGCGTCGGACAAGTAGACACAGGACTCGGACTCCTGCTGGTACTTCCGTGCCCGCCGTTGTGCGGACATTGCGGGGGCAAGTCTTCGATGGCCAATGTTTCCTGCGAGTCTGCTTTTGATCGATTCAAACAGTTGCATGTCCACGGGTCTTTATCAATGTTTTCTGTAGAAACTGTGAAAACATCACCGTTCAGTTATAATATGGATAAACAAACATTATACAAACACACTTTACTAAATTATCGTATATATAATATTAAATTATATTTAACATCCGGGAAAGGTGGTACCTATTATAATACACCGACAGTGTGATTTGTGTTTTTTGTGGTTTCTCGGTTTTTTGATTAAACTGTGCGCTTATCAAAATTCCGAGTCTTGAAGATTTGTATTATAAAGATCGCTTTTGGAAATACTTAGATTTATCGATACACACTCACATGAAAATTTCCTCGGATCGGGCCCAGGACTAATTGGAAAGAAATCACCGTGGACGGGACAGTGGAATCCGACTCGAGTTTGCCGAAAACGGGCCTTTGTGCTAATTGTCCGGAGCACTGCTGTCGCAATAAACATTAAGATCGACACGACCAAACATATAGGCCCCAACAATCGTCCATTGTCAGACGTCGAGTAGAACTTGCGTTTCGTGTCGTCTTCGCCACCTCCAGTTACCCAGCCATAAGATATCACTGCGTGAACAAATTGTATTTTATCAGAACAATACACAAGCACTGCTATTATACATACAGCTGGACGCTAGTGATATAACTTAATATTGAAAAACCATAAACTCTGAATTATATAATTATTATTATAAACTTATAAATATCATAATAATATATCATACGATTATGAGGGTAAATAAATCAATGGTCCTAAATTGCCTACACATTGCGCCGTGTTGAACATATTCAATAATATTAACATACATCATAATAATACAATAATCGTCGCTTATTGGACTCACATTGAGACTAGACCATTTGAGTTCACTAAACAAAAGTGTCAATAAGCCGTAAGACTTTCAAAAACTAAAACACATAATATTATATTTTCAAGCATGTGATTACATTTTAAATATATATTGAGATTTCAGATTAAATTCAGTATTCACACATTTGTTCCATTTTTAATTACATTAAAATTCAATTTAATTTTTAACTATCTAAGCTTTCTACGACCCTATTAACCGGTGAACTGTTTCTAATGGATTTTTTTTTTACCGTATGTTAGTATACTGCAAATTAAGTAAAAATGTATTACTATATTTATAAAATATAAATATAATATTATCAAATGTTTCACTGTTTCAGGCTAAAGAACTTTATTAACGTATATGTATGCATACTATCACATAAAAACGATAAGGGTTATATTATACTTCTATATTTTATTATTCAAATATTAACGTTATGTCCCTATCACGTCAATATTAAATTGAGTGAGGTAAATAAGTTGGGTGTCGTATTTTGACATCTCATATTATGTATTTTATGAGAGATGGAAAAATGGTTATCAGTTATCACTTATCCTCAATAATTATTATATTATTACTTTAGTTAAGTTGTCAGTTGACCAGTTAAATGTAATCTATGTGCGTTTTTTTTAAATATGAAATTAAGAAATTCAGGAATTCATACTTCGTTTGATGTGGCGAACGTAGCAAAATTTTCTTCAAATAGTTGTGATATAATTTTACATTTTTTGTCATCATAAATCGAAATTTCGAACTATTCCAAAATAGGAGGCGAGAAAAACGCACCATCGCCATCGCCAAGTGTTGCATTAAGGTGGTGGGGTTCCACAGACTCAGGGCTCCCTCTGGTTCCACCCCTGTCCAGTCTACTAGGCATAACAACCGAGAATTATTAAGTATAAAAGTATGAGTAGATTATAGGAATAATCCTATTCATACAAATCTAATTGGATTTATGAAAACTGATGGAATAGGTATAAATGATAATGAATAGAAAACAATCTTGGTTAACCCTATCTCATTGGCCGCTAACCATTCTTCGATTCAATGTTAACTAATTATTTTAAGCATGTTTGTTTTACGCAATTCTGCTTTCCGTCCATCACGTGTTATTTTTGAGTATAATAATGATAAAATTCGAAATTTCTATACTATATCAGTCATCAAACATTCTTTCCCGCGTCGTCGTTCCGACTTCATTATGTGCCTACGTACTGAATAGTTACCATAGTTAATATTACCGGCACTTACGATTGGCCGGAAATTACCAGTTCTACATTGAAGTATACCTTCTATTACTATATTCATGTCAATTTTACAAAAGGTCATCAGCTAGCAATAATATAATTTATCAAAATAAGATAGATACCTACCTCTACAGGCGTTCGAGGGTTAAACTTAAATTTATTTCTTAAGGCATGTATCGCTTACAATATTGGCGCTGATTTCGACCAGCTACGGTCTATCTATATTGCGGCCGGATAACAGCGATGGAAGCATCATATACCTGTGAGCACTATGCCGACGACCAGGAACAGTGTGCCGAAGACAGGCAAGGCGATCTGACAGTTGGACCGGACAGTTACGCCCCACACGGTGACACCGTCGTCGACTTTCCTCACGGCCGACGACGACGAATGGAGTGTGCGTCTCGTGGCCGGCGGACAACTCGTCGAGCCGATCGGTCGTAGCTGATCGTCGCCAGACGTCATCCGGCCGGCAGCGGTTGACGGTGAATGACGGTCGCTGTACGCAGGAAAACTAGATCGACAACATGTACAATTTATTAATTTATAGGTAATAATAATAATAATAATAATAATGTTAACAATAAAAAAACAATATGTAATAATGTTCAACCCGCGCGTGGGCGGTCGATGGTGCTAGATTGTATTTTAAACACCGAGTGGGTCGATATTACAGGTATATTCCGCCGCATACATCATTCACGAACAAACAACACACATACACAAACATCGCCCTAGTGACCACTGCACGAAATATGCACACAAGGCGACTCTTTTGTAAAATAGTCGTTTTTTAGGTAATTTTTATATTTTACCTAATACCTATACATATTTGAAAACATAAGTTTCTGTGTTTTTTGTTTTTGCATTATCCAAATAAGTCACTGCGACAACGGTGATTTTTGAAAAAATATTTATAAACGGAGTATGTTTCTAAAGATTTATTTGTATAGAAATCGAATTTCAAACTTTCAGTTGTTAAAAATGTTTAAGTTTTAAGTAGATACGTATAGTAGGTACTTATTAAAAGTTTTAGGGTCTGAATGGTTTTTTTTTTAATGTTAAGGCGGTAGCCATTATTTCGGCTTCAAGTTACATTTACCTAGAAAATAACTGTTATTAGGGATACTAAGAAATTACCCTATATGCGAATGTCAATTTTTGTGTGAGCGTGGGTAGGTGTGTGTATAATGTACATGTATAGGTTAAGACGTTAAGTTAGGTTAACCATGATAAATATAGTAAAAATAAAAATATATACCTATATACCTATAATTATTTTCATTAAACTTACATAATATGTTATATTCTGCAGTATACATTTCTTAAAATTAAAATTCCTGTAACCTTATATATACACTTATATTATAATAAAATGTTAAAAATAAAATAAAAAATAAATTATCGCTGTAATATAACATCTATGGCAATAATAATACCGCTCATTGCTCCACCTGTGCGCTAATACACTTTGGTCTAATACGGTCAATTTATTAAAATCCAGATTAACAGATTAATGTGGAATATATGTACGCCGTCAAAAATGGAACATGACAATGACATCATAAGCTTTCACAAATAAAATTGCTTAAGACCGTTTCAAACGGTGTGCGTTAAAAGTTCAATGTGAAATTATAGGAAAATATACATTCTGAGTGTTTGTGTACCAAAGTTAATTTAATGCAAATACACAAAAATCTAAATTATAATTTATTAATTTATATATTAAATTCAAGACATAATATTATTATTGGAGTATAATATTACCTTTAATATATTACCTTTCTACATTGATTTAGTTGAAAAACGTAATAGGTAACTAATAACATAGGTATGATGTTAAATAAATACTCTAAATATAGGTGCATAAAAGACTGAACTGTGACTTTTTATGTAAAGATATCCCTAAATCTAATTTGTTAAGCAATACTATAGGTACTGCGTTTTATTAATAGGTACGCAATTTTGAGCACACGATTATTTTTTTTAAATTTGTTAATTTATATAACTTTTTGCTAAAAGTATCCTATTTGTTATCTCACAACTGTGTTTTTTTCTAATACTTTCTAGGTACCTATGTTAATCGTGAAATCGATAATTGTTTACTTTTATTTAAAAAAAACTTTATTGCTAGTGCCTTAATATTATTAGCATTATTAGAATTGACGATTTGTCCCGATGCTCGATGTCGGTTGTCTGCAATGTTCATTTTTAACCAGCACAACATTTGCATAATAGGTACTTACAATTTAGGAGGGGAGTTTAGAATATTAAATTATTATATTAAAATGGCGTTTGAATTGAGTTCAATTTAATCAATATAATGTAATCTAGTCCTATATTTTGAATTCTTGGTTTTTTAAAGATTGGTTTTTTTTTGTGTGTCTAGTTTTGTCTTACTATCTTTTCTTAGTAGAAAAATTCTTTGATCTCTAAGATTGAGCTAGTTTCTGAAAGAAACTGTTTGTACTACGCTCTATGTGGCCGGAGGTGTAGGCAAATTTAGAATTTTCAAAGTACCCTATTCTAAATTCTGTTGTACAGGTGGGTGGAAGCCGGAAGGTTCACTGTAATGGATGTGTTAAATTGTAATTCATTAAGTATTTAATGTATTTTTCAAACATTTTCAATCCTTATTTATATAAACTGAACATTTTATACATTTTCAACTAGGTACATAATAATTTGTTCTCAAGAAAGTAAACACTGATACACATCAGAATGAAGGAGTCGTTTTGATGTAGTCTACTATTCTTCCCTCACAATCGTATGTATAACAACACAATTTTTGTGTACAATGACTGATGATTTATGATTGAATTATTTGAATTCAAATTTAATATATTCTTTACTGTAACCTACACCCGAAGCCGTATCCAGGAATTTCTCCTAGTTGGATCCAGCACATGTATATTGAATTTTAGTCAATACTAAATTTTTGTCTTGACATTTGGTTAAAAATAATATAAAAATAATTGTACAGAGTGGTTCATTAAGCATTCTCATCCCTTATTTTAAAAATTTGTAAGATATTGATGAAATTTCAGGACCCCCCTCAGACATCACCTTGAGTACACTTTCTCAATAACAGTATTAGTAGGTAGTAGGTACATTCGAAAGTCATAGTTTGTACTATACAGCAGATCGGATTTTCCTGTTTTTGACATTGGAAGTTATAGGTACCTACTAGAAACATAAAATGAAATTATTTTTTCAAAAATTGTCGTAGGTATCCTTCGACTTACACAAACATTATAAAAACATTTTTTTCCTCTAAATTTGATGAAAAAAACAATGTATGGCTATCGTAGGTACTTACTTTTTAAGCTATACTTACAACTGGCTATCTTGTCGTATGCGCTTTACTACGCAATTTATGTCCTTAGCACTATTTTCCTGCATGATATAATTTTTGAACTTGTATTTAATCATTGGTCGACAATTTTTTTGAATAAATGTGACATATTTAATGCATTTTTGAGAAACAGGGTACAATAGTATTTTAATATTTATTTATTTTATTTTAATTTTTCCCAATTATTTATTTTATTTTAATTTATCCCAATTATTTTTATGTTTTTAATTAATGATAATGAAACGAATAACGAGACGATGACGATGACGATCGTTGATAGTATATAATAATTTTTATTTTTTAATAATATATAACTTATTTATAAGAATTTGTGTTCGTCAATAAAAACCACATTTACACTGTCCACTTAATGCGAGAATATAATATTATCGAAAATCGAAATATAGTTATAAAGTGGTAAAAACTGTAGAGCGCGTACTGCAGTGGCATTGTTTTTGGTAAAGCCCTTACAACTTACCTAACATGTTTTGTAATTTTAAAATTAGCATTGATTATAAAATAGAGAAACTTATTGGTATTCATTACCGTCCACTTCACCTTTAGGATTTCTGACGCTTTCTTTATTCACTTACACTTTTTAGTTCTAACATAATAAATAATTTTTTTTTAAAAATCAATTTTTTTGAAATTGTTCGCCTTTACTAGAATATTATAATCTCTTATTTGATATTAAACACTACATTAGGTAACTAACTTAATTTAATTTGTCAACATTTATATTAATATTTTAATTAATATAAATATAAATATCTAATAGCATTAATTTAGGTGCCCATAAAAATTTAGAATATAATATAAAACACAGAATCATTTAGTTCCTAAATAAGAATACAATTAAATAAATAAATATACATATACATTTGGTAACAACTTTTAATTGGACAATAAAGAAATTATTAAAATAAATGTTTTTAATAGACAATCATAAATAAAATAAACAAAAATATAACCAATTTTAATTTTTACAAAAAAAATATTGAAGAATTAATATACATTTTTATTGAGATTTTACCAATCTCAGTTAGGCACATTAAGGTTCTAATAATACTATGTACAGATAAATAACAAGTGTTATAAATAGCTAACAAATTGCATAAAAAAATTAATTAAATACAATACTATGTGCTTTGATGAATTTGTAAAAGGTTATATGGTTTAATTATAAAATAAATAACAATATAATGAATTAGAACAACGCCTACTTATAATTTATTTCAGTGATTCTTTAGTAGCATTCACAGTTTTAAGTAGACTATTATTCTTAACAATATTGGAATGAACCAGTATTAAATAAACATACAAATGACTGTTTAGGTACACAATGATGAATAAAATGGATTAATAATTGACTTAAATAACTATGATATGTAAAGGCTGCAATGGTTTATTCAATACTTTGGATGCTGTGTAAAATATTTTTCCACGTTTGTAGCCCCTGTAAAATAAAATTTTAATTAGAAACATTAGAAATATTAAATGTAATATAAGATATTATCCCTATGATTGTAAAAAGTATTTAAATATTTTTGGATCGTATCTGTATCAAATGTATTAACAAAAAAGTTTGATTTTATAAATTAAGTTATTTTGTTCAGTAAGTTCAGTATATTCTAAATATTACATAATAACTAATTCAATCACAGAATAAACTAAAAGTAACAATTACCTAATTATGTTCGGACATGTTTACAGTTTTATTAAATATTAACAAACTATAATACAAGGCAAAAAAAGGAAAAAAAGTGTCATTTTTTTTAGTTTATAAACTATTAAAAATTTTGACTAGATAATTTCTTTATGGTATTAATATACTAGATTTAAATTTTAAATTATATTAAATAATATACAAACCTTTTGAGCATACTTAGTTTGGAAAGCTACATAATCTTTGAGAATGTTCATAAGATCTAAGTCTTTTTGTCTTTCAAATTCCTTATAATTTTCTAATGATTTATCAACAAACTCACTAAAATAAAATTTAAAATTTATTACTATTTCAATATGAACAATGTTAGTATTAATGTATTTTATTCAATTAGAAAATAAGTAATGGAGTAAATATTGAATAAATGATCTATTAGTGCAGGTCAAGAGGACATTATACATGTAATACAAAACTAGATGTTCCAATCAACACCAACCTTATATATTGTGATAAAAAAATAGGGTTGGCCTTTTATTTAAACCTGGATACAAATTTGTATAATTTGTAAAGGAAAAATGTAAATGTTACTACTTTTTTGAGATCAACCACTAACACTTTAATTCACAATTTTTTGTTACTAGAATACCACACGCAATATAGTAAGCACTCAGCACTCTATAACACACGTTTTTAAACAAAAACTGACTCAATGGGAACAGACAGGAAAAAGAATATATTCATTAATAATTG